ATAAGGAATCAGCAAGGACTTGCCTCGGAAAGGGACAGAAGCCTGGACAAGGGCACCAGGAAGAGAGCCAACTCTGCTAGACAAGATAAGATAGCTTGAGTACACAAGCCTTTTGCTTAAAAAAGAAGAGGGAGATTAGGTTTGGTACAGAAGAAGGACTGTCCACCTTCTGGCAGGAAAAGAATGCAATGGGAGTTTTTCTGCATCAAGATTGGTCTGATGTGGGGTGTCGGGGGGCGGGGGGGGGGAGGGGGAGAGGACGACTTGGAGCTAGAGTAAGGTGAGGCAAAGAGAACAGAAACATAGATGCCATAGTTCCTATGGTCAGGGGTGAGAAGGCAATGTAGAGATCCATCGGTGCCATCAGGAGGTTACAGGGTCTCAGCTGAGAGAACAGGAGTAGTAAAGTAGTAGTAATATTAACAGCTAACATTATTGAATGCTTATGTGCCAGAGTATGTTCTTAGTCACACACATATAACTCTTTCTAAAAATATATATATTTTTATTGATTTCAGAGAGGAAGAGAGAGGGAGAGATAGAAACATCATGCCCCCTCCTGGGGACTGAGCCTGCAACCCAGGCAAGTGCCCTGATTGGAAATCGAACCGTGACCTCCTGGTTCATAGGTTGATGTTCAACCACCAAGCAACACCTGCCGGGCTACACATGAACTCTTTTAATCCTCACAACAACACTATGAGTTCAGTACGAACATGCCATTTTATATAAAGCAAACAGGCACAGAGGTTAAATAACTTGCTTGAGGTTAGATGGCTTGGAAATGTTATAAGATTGCACTGCCTGTTTATTTGGTAGTCAGACACACATCCCTTTAGAGCAGCCGTGGGCAAACTATGGCCCGCGGGCCGGATCCGGCCCGTTTCAAATGAATAAAACTAAAAAAAAAAAAGACCGTACCCTTTTATGTAATGATGTTTACTTTGAATTTATATTAGTTCACACAAACACTCCATCCATGCTTTTGTTCCGGCCCTCAGGTCCAGTTTAAGAACCCACTGTGGCCCTGAGTCAAAAAGATTGCCCACCCCTGCTTTAGAGGAATCAAACAGAACTTTAGTTAAGCTAGCATACAACTTGTGCAGTGAAACTATGTGCTCAGTCATTAGGTTTGGGTGCAAAACCCATCTAATGAGGGAAATAGGCTGCTCTCCTCACTGGTGTAATGTATTTTCAGTGATGAGAATTTTTGACTTTTTTTTTTGGTTAATCCTCACCTGAGGATATCAACCAAGGTATGTGGCCTTAACCAGAATTGAACCCAGGACCTTTCAGTCCTCGGCCGATACTCTATCCACGGAGCCAAAACTGCTAGAGTGTGATGAGAATTTTTGGAATGTTGGGCACACCCTAGTTTAAGAATGCAAACACATTCCAAAGTGAAATTTCAATGACTGTTTTTCTTTTCTTTTGCCATAACGGTTATCACGGCAATTATAGTGAAGGGCAGACTGCAAATAGTCTTCAGTTATAAACAGGGAAATCAATAATAACTAGACTGCTTCACTCATTTTGTGTATTGCATTATAAACTTCTCAGGTATTCGAAGGCGGCCTGACAAAATTAGAAAATATTGTCAATCTCCATGACTTGTTTAAGATATTCAGAAGTGTTCAAATTTTTTTTCTTTTTTATTGATTTCAGAGAGGAAGGGAGAGGGAGAGATAGAAACATTGGTGAGAGAGAAACATCACCCATCTTTGCTGCCTCCTGCCACCCGTACTGGGGATCGAGCTCTTAACCCAGGCACGTGCCCTTGACTGGAATTGAACCGGGGACCCTTCAGTCCACTAGCCGACGCTCTATCCACGGAGCCAAACCGGCTAGGGCCAAAAGTGTTCCATTTCCAAGTGTTATGGAATAGTAAGAAGCTACGATAATTCCAGGACGAGGGGAACAGGGAAACCAAGACAGACAGTTAAATAGCAGTTTGCAGCCACCTAGTAAATCCTATCTTCCCTAGACCAAGGACATTTAAGCGTAAACAGTTTGAGGAACATATGTAATACTTTCAACAATATATATATATATATATATATATTTAAAGAGTAAATGGTTTGCACTTCTCCTCCCCAACCAGAGGATAAATAGCTTAAATCACCCTATTCGGGGAGACAGATAACAGAAATCCAATTAAGTGCCTTTTACCAACCGCATCCAAGGACAGACAAATTAAGAGAATAAATCTTATTTTGGTACATCATCCTGCAGCTGATGAATATTCTATTGCTCTGTCCCTAAAATCCCCCTTACATGCTCAGCCTTTAAAACCCCTGAAAATGAAGGCCCCAGGGCGCTCTCCCGTCAGGGAGCACACAGGAGCCATTCCGCCCTCCCCCCCCACCCTATTCCCCACATGTCCCCTAACCTCTAAGGGACCCCATGAGACCTGCCCGGGGCGCAAAGGCCCGGTTCTCTGGCTTCCCAGTGAGCTAAGGCAGCCGAACCTGGGCTCCCCTTGCGCGTTTCCCTCACCTGAGCATATTTTTGCTGCGGTCAATACATTCTTGTTTGCTTTTTTTTCTACACTTTGTCTCTTGATTGAAATCCTTCCCTCAGGAAGACAAGAATCGAGGGCTCCTCCTCTCACAGGTAATAAAACTACAAGCCTTCTTCCTCTTCCTGGGATTGAGTGGGATCCCCTTTCTTTAGAGTAAACCGGTGATCAGGTGGGCGCTATGCAAAACCCACCTGGGGGAGACATAGGGTGTTGTATTCAGAGAATGCAGAAAACGAAAGCGAAAACAATCTTCGGTTTCATCATAACAATAGTTATTACAGGTAGAACGATAAATTCTTGGCTAGACTTTTAGAGGAAAATAACAAAAGTTCTCCCGGTAGGGGCGGGGAGAAGACGTCAGGAAGCGACTTACTTTGGCTCCAGGAAGAGTCTAGAGAATCTCCAGACATAGTCTTCCATTTGTCCAAATGGAAGCGTATGTTAAGAAATTAAAAGCCCAGGACGTATTAAGGAGCTTATTCTAATCATCCACGAAATCCGCAGACCCGAGTGCAGGGCTTTCAATGGGCGGGTTGCCGATTTAAAAAGTGCACCTGCAGAGACCGAGTTACCCTGTGCTGGGCCCCGCTGCGCGCATGGCTCAACCCCACAGCCAACGCAGAAAGCATTCGGGCGGAAGACGCTACAGATCACAGCCATCACTGAGCGGAAAATCATCTATGGAGGCCCTGATTTCGTTTAGACTCTAAACTGAGGATTTGGAGCTCTTGGGGGGGAAAAAAAATGCTGCAGGAGAGGCGCACCCGCTCAAACTTTCCTCAGGAAACGAGCTGTTTACTGAGTAAACAAGCCGTAGCCACAGACACACCTGCTACTCCCAGTGGCGCCCAGGACCCGCCACCGCCACCTGCTGGCCACATCCGGGCACTTCTCTCTACAAAATCCTGACGTCCCGACGTCCGAGACGTTGGGTTCATTTGAAACACAGGCACAACCAATCAGAGGCGCAGGGCAGCGACCAATCCCCGCCCCCTTGGAGGCTCCGGCCTATGAGAAGGGGGTTGACACCACGCGCCAATCGGCACGGCTTTTAGAGACAGCGGCTCCCTTTTTGAATTGGCTGTGGCTGCCTCCCGCGAGGAATGGCGGTAACGGCGAGAGGAGCCGGAGTTTGAAGAAGTGGCACTCCCCGGGCGCTTGGTGAGAGCGGTGAGGCCTCTGGGCGGGATCGTGGGAGCGGGCGTGGGCTCGCGTACCGGGAGCCGCGGGCTCCTTTGCGGTGGTCCGTCAGCCCCGCCCCGGTGACCGCGGAATCCGCGCACCCCTGCCGGGTCCCGGCTCCGGGAGCTGTGCCCCAGGTACCGTGCCCTCAGCCGCTGCTCACCTGCCAGCTGTTTCTTCCGGAGGAGCCCGCGGGGGAAGGCAGGGAGCTGGTGGGGAAGGGGGCCTGGGCCAGCCGCGCCGCACCCCCTGGGGTCTTATCTCAGGACGCAGTGGTTTCGCTCCAGGATTCTTCGGGGCCGGCTTGTCTGCGGGCAGTTCAGTTGGTACATAAAATGCCAACCCATCCTGCCCCATCCGCCTTCCCTCTACCCCCCGTCCCCCCATCTCTTTCCACCACCCCCTCCGGTCCGCGCGCCGTCCTCCTCGGTGCAGGTGTGCATGGCTTAGTGGTGAGAAGCGCAGTCTCTGGGGTCATCCGGGAGTTGAACCCCAGCTTCACTCACGTGACTTGGGGGAAGTTACTTAACCTTTCTATTCTAGGTTTCTTTCTCAGCTGGAAACAATAACATTGCCCTCCTCTTAGCATTGTTGTAGATAAAAAATAAACACAAGGGTGAGAATGATGTCTGCCACATGTGAAGGGTTAAATAAATCTTGTTCATTGTAGTGTTATGTCATGTTTTCAGTGTTATTAAAGTTGTCAGTTACACCAACGACATACCCAGAATTGCATTTAGCTCCACCCACCGAGAAAGATGATTCCTAAACACTAAAAAGAAACCCAGAGTGAATATTTTGGTTTAGTGACAATTTTTTAAAAAAATATATATTTATTGATTCCGAGAGGAAGGGAGAAAGAGAAACATCACTGATGAGAACCATTGATCGGCTGCCTCTTGCAGCGCCCCCTCCTGGGGGCAGAGCCTGCAGCCCAGGCACCTGCCGAGACCAGGAATCAAGCCGGGACCCCCTGGTTCCTAGGTCGATGCTCCACTGCAGGGCCTGCGCGCTTTTGTTATTTGTACCATAGTCTACCGAGTCAGGTACTGGAGGGTTTCTGTTATAGAAGAGGAAACCGAGGTTCAAAGACGTTGAGTGAACTTTCTTTGGTTCAATATTAAGAAAAATGGGTGCTGATGCTTTTTATTCTTTTATTTTTTATTTTTAAAATTTTTCTTTTGCTGAAAAAGAAAAAAATTGTATAAAAGAAAAATTTTATAAACTCTAGTATAAAAGCAGAGTTTGCCCAAAGATCATGTTTGTTTCATGTGTTCTTATTCAAATGTATTCTTTTTCTAGTGAACTTAGGAGAGTACGAACAATGGCTGACAACAGTGTACTAACATGTGCTGGGAGGACCAGCTTGGCAGACTCTTCCATTTTTGATTCTAAAGTTACTGAAGCTTCTAAGGAAAACTTACTTAGTGGACCTACTTTGTATGTTGAAGGTAAATGTGCTTTCAAACTGCAAATCACTATTTTAATACTAATCGTATTGACTAGAGACTTTCTTATCATTTAACTGTAACGCTGTTAAGTTAGAGTACAGGTATTCAGTAAATATTTGATGACAATCTTTACACAACATAGCTTTAAAAAAATTATCTTTATTGTTGAAAGTATTATAGATGCCTCCTGTCCCCTAACCCTCAGTGACCTCCCCCTACACTTTTTATTGTATATCCATACAATATTGTGCACTCTGAAACTAGACAAATAGAAACAATGCGTCCCAACTTTGAAGGGAAGTCATATTGGATATTGCTTTTTCTGTATGTGAGGGTCATCTAGCTGCACCATTCTTAGCTAGACTGTATTCAGTTATATCTGGTGAGGTGAAAAAACTTCTTCCCTTACCTCACTATGTAAATGGGTCTTTCCTAAATTTGCATGCACTGTTGATGAAGATGATTGTACAAGATATTGAGTGCTTTCTTTGGTTAGGAGTGTTGATGTTTGTATATATGTTCTCTTCCTTAAAATGGAATGTGGCCAAAATATTTTTTAATAAGCTGGGAATTAAGTAATTTTAATTTTAGAGAATGTTATGATCTCAAAGATGGAAAATATAGTAGATATAGCCAAAAATGGGAATAGGAACTACTGATTTTGATGTTAATTCTTGATAAATATATTTAAACATTTTTAATTTTAATAGAAGAAATGCCTCAGGTTGAAACAAGAGTGGTATTGGTTCAAGAAGCTGGAAAACAAGAAGAACTTATAAAGGCCTTAAAGGTATGAAGTTTTAAGTTTTTAACTTTTTTAAAAGGCTGTTTTTCTTCCATTAGGATGTAAATAATTTTATAGTTTTAATCTCATACTTAAGTCTCTTTTCCACAGACTATTAAAATAATGGATGTACCAGTTATAAAGATAAAAGAAAGTTGCCCTGGAAAATCGGATGAAAAATTAATAAAAAGTGTTGTTAATATGGTAGGTTCAGCATTTCATTGCATGTGGCATGCTGCACTTCCCTTGATTGTATTCTTATATTACACTTATGGTGACGACCTAAATTAGGTGCAAGGTATATTGTGCACTCTGAAACTAGACAAATAGAAACAATTTTAAATTTATTTCTAAAATCTGGGTGTTTCTAAAACCCCAAACTATTGCACCTATTGCAAATAATGAAATCCTTGTCATTTGTCATTGTTAAATTTAAATGGCATATCACAAATTTACAAAGATCTGATACTTTTCTCTAAATTCTTTATCTTTTTTCTCATTACCTTTATATTTATTCTAAGTTCTTGCTTTATTTCCAAATTATAAATCATAATTATTGACAGTCACTAGGGAATTTGCCTCAGCATATGAAATATATTTAATTCTCTATACCAGCTGGAATAGTTTGTGAGGGCTGCCATACAAAATACCACACACTGGGTGCCTTAAACAACAGAAATATATTTTCTCATAGTTCCTTGGTCTAGGAGTCCAAGATCAAGATATTAGTAGGTTTGGCTTCTCTTGAGGCCTTTCTCCTTGTCTTGTAGGTGGCCGCCACTCTCTTGCTGTGTCTTCACATGGCCTTTCTTCTGTATATGCACATCCTGCTATCTCTGTTGTGTGCCCCCCAAATTTCCTCCTCTTCTAAGGACACAAGACAGATTGGATTAGGGCTCACCCATATGACCTCATTTTACCTTAATTATCTCTTAAAAGGCCCTATCATCAAATATACAGTCACATTTTAGGGTATAAGGGGGTTAGTTTCAACATGAATCTTGGGGATACATGATTCAGCCCATCACATCAATTACAACAGAAAACCCAAATCATTTAACCATTCAGAATTTTGCTTTAAATGGTTCTCTTTTTTTGTTATATGGGAATCATATAGGTACTTAAATATCTTCATTCTTTTTCATTGACTTACAGTATAAAGTGGTAAACAGTAATTTGCTTTTCTATATATCCTTGCCATGCTGCAATTGCCTACCTAGTTCACATCTTTCTCTTATTTTCCTCATATATACTGAAATGATTACATTAATCTATATCCTTTTGGAAGATCTCAAGTGCCATAGTTTTCTGTTTTTCCTAAAGACTTGTTGCACAAGAAGGAACCATATGTATGGCATCATTTTCTTGGTTAGATTACAGTGGTTGGCAAACTGCGGCTCGCAAGCCACATGCAGCTCTTTGGCCCCTTGAGTGTGGCTCTTCCTAAGCCTTAGGAGTACCCTAATTAAGTTAATAACAATGTACCTACCTATATAGTTTAAGTTTAAAAAATTTGACTCTCAAAAGAAATTTCAATCCTTGTACTGTTGATATTTGGCTCTGTTGACTAATGAGTTTGCCGACCACTGGTAGAAGAAAAAGCAATAGCGGTTATCTTAATGCATCCTACTGTCAAAATGTGTGTGCTTAAATTCATCATTTTTATTTTATATGCATACAAGATTTATGACTATTAAGTCAAGTCAAAGCTTAGGTCTTTATAAGAGTAATCTTCAAAATTTAAGATCTTAATATAGATGGAGATATATGTATATGTAAAAACGCAAATCAGCAACTAAAGAAATGACTCTTCACTCTTGAATATAATGTTCATTATGGTATGATTTAAAACTTAAGTTTTCAACAAATATAAAAATAAAATTTTGGTATTGAATTTGTAGGTCTTATTTAGAGTTATATGAATTAATTATATAATACATTTTATTTCTATAACTACATAAAAAAAATCAAGGAAATTAAAGTGCCCTTTGTAAAGATGGAATCAGTAGAAGAATATGAAAGTTTGGATTCTCCAGAATTTGAAAATGTATTTATAGTCATGGACTTCCAGGATCCTGTCTTTACTGAGTTATACAAGACTGATTGTAGAGTTATTGGACCACCAGTAGTATTAAACTGTGCACAAAAAGGAGAGGTAAGAAGAATATACATTTATTATGACATTTTTATTAATGAATGTTGCAAAAATTGATAAGCAGAAAATTCCGTTAATTGTTGAGAATATGAAATATTTAAAATAGGAATAGTAGTAGCTAGTGTATAGTCCTTTTGTTTTGTTTTTTTCTATTGTAATTTTCAGTAGTGAAAATCTAAGACCTTTGAAAGTTAGGCAATAAAAACTATATATATAATATGTAAGAGTTGTAGCAGAGTTAGTCCCTATTTTTTGGTTTTATTGCTATGTTTTGCCATTCTAAAGCTTGCCTTATTAACTTACAGTTGCTGAAGTCATTCCGTTTTTGTTATAGGTACTAGCAAGAAGCACATGACAATCTTTAATTCTCTGTTTTGGTTGAGAAGTGTTGCTTTCAGAAGCCGAGTAAAAATTTTAAAGTCCAAAATTAAATATACATATATTAAATGTTAAATATCTGTCTATTCTTATTCTGATATGTATGTGTTAAATTGGTTAAAATATTTACTGATTACTTCCATCATTTTAGCCCCAAAATTGGGAGCATACTTGGTTCAATTTTATGTTATATACCTAATATTTATAAATATTTGACCTGTTTTAACTTTAATTGGAAGCATTTACAGTAATCTGTGGAGTCAGAAATCTGTTTATTGATAATATTTCACGTGACAAAGTATATTTTAGAACTAAAGGTTTGAATATATTTGTGTTTAATTTGCAAATCAAAGTGTGCTTAGATTATGTGTATCAAATGATTTGGGAATTGTGGAAATTTTATTGTGAAACTAGCAATATTTTGCTATTTTTATTGCATATTGAAAAATGCAAATAAATCTTTGCATTGGGATAGTTGATTGATAAGGGGGAAGATATTTTTAACTTGAGAAAGATGTATTCTATTTTCTACTATAAAGAAAGCTCATAGATTTAAAATTATTCTTCAGCCTTTGCCGTTTTCATGTCGTCCACTCTATTGTACAAGCATGATGAATTTAGTACTATGCTTTACTGGATTCAGGAAGAAAGAAGAACTAGTAAGTATTTCAAAACAATCTATTCAAAGAATATTTTCCTTAAAGTATTCTTATTGCCCTGGAAATTCACAGAAATGCTTTTCTTTTGTTTCATTAATCCTCACCTAAGGCTACTTTTCCATTGATCTCTAGAGAGAGTGGAAGGGAGGAAGAGAGACAAGGAGAGAGAAACATTGATTGGTTGCCTCCCACACATGCCCCAACTGAATGTGTTGGGGGTCAGGGATCAATCCTGCAACCCAGGTATGTGCCCTTGACCAGAATCAAACCTGGGAATCTTCTATCCACTGAGCCAAACTGGCTAGGGCTTTAAAAAAAAAGAAAAGAAAAAGAAAATACTGATTTCAGAGAGGAAGGGAGAAGGAGAGAACGATAGAAACATCAATGATGAGAGCGCATCATTGATTGGCTGCTTCCTGCATGCCCCCTACTAGGGATTGAGCCTGCAACCCAGGTATGTGCCCTGACCTCCAGGTTCATAGGTCTATACTCAACCACTGAGCCACACCAGCCTGGCTCACAGAAGCTTCTTTGATATGTAAGTTTCTATGTTGGAGCTAATGGAAGATTAATTTTGTGGGAAGAATTTTGGTGTGATATAACCTCGTGTTATAAAAAATAATGTATTTAGCTGTGAAAGATAGCTTAAGTAACTAAGTTTTGTGTGATCATCTTTACTAGCTTATTTTATATAATAAAAGACTCATTTGCTAAGTGTCCGGTTGTCCGGTTGGCCATTCAACCAATCAAAGCATAATATGCTAATGATATGCTAAGGCTGCCCAACTTTTCTCTTTGATATGCACCCACTACCAGGGGGCAGACAGTTGACCAGTCGACCAGTTGCTATGATGTGCACTGATCACTAGAGGGCAGATGCTCTGACCAGTAGGTTAGCTTGCTACTGGGGTCCGGCTGATTGAGACTGGGCGAGACGGGCCAGACACGCCCTGGAGCCCTCCCACGGTCCCTCTGCAGCTGGCCAACCTCCCACGTCCCTCCCCGGGCCCAGTTGTGCACCGGTGGGGTCCCTCAGCTTGGCCTCACCCTCTCGCAACCCAGGACCCCTCGGGGGATGTCGGAGAGCCGGTTTCGGCCTGATCCTGCAGGCCAGGCTGAGGGACCCCACTGGTGCAGGAATTCATGCACTGGGCCTCTAGTCACTATATATAGTTTTGTGCCAGTAAAACATTTTTAATTTTTTTGACAAAGTTTATACCTTTATAAAAATTCCTATATGTACCTTATAAAATAGAAAGTATTCAGTTAATGCTAAATAAGTTGTAAAAATAGTTTAAATTTTTATTTAAATTAATTATAAAGCTAATATTGCTTAATTTTTCTTTTGAGGTCAGATTGGTGACATTGGTCCATCACATGGGTGGAGTTATTCGAAAAGACTTTAATTCCAAAGTAACACATTTGGTGGCAAATTGTACACAAGGAGAAAAATTCAGGGTATGTAAACTTGGGTATTTTTGTTTATTTCAGTATTGCATCATTCAGGATTAGATTTAATAACAGTCTCATCTATGTCCTATAATTTACTGAAGCTCAGAAATTCAATTTTTGCTTTATGTACATGTAGCAACATTTTTTTCTTTTTTCAAACACTGTTTTTTGTTGTTAATCCTCACCTGAGGATATTTTTTCTTTTCTTTAAAGCATTTTATTTATTTATATATTTATTTTTAATCCTCACCAGAGGATATTTTTCCATTGATTTTTAGAGAGTGGAGGGGATGGGAAAAGAGAGAGAGAAAAAAAAAAGAGAGACATTGATGTGAGAGAGACGTATCAGTTGGTTGCTGCATGAGCTCCAACAGGGCCAGGAATTGAACCTGCAACCCAGGTACCTGCCCTTGACCTGGAATCGAACCCCTGACCCTTTGGTTCTTGGGCCTATGCTCTAACCACTGAGAACACTGGCTACAACACAAAATTTTAAATCATACGAGTGTGGTCTCGGGTTTTAAGGTGGCAATGGAACTTGATTTAGGTCTTCAAAGATGAGTAGGATTTTGAAGGTTTGTTGATGGATAACATTTCAGGCAGATGAATACTATTTGCAAAGGTTACTATGAGCATTAGTAAATGAGGGGGGTTGGGAAGTGATGAGAGAGATACATACATAAAAGTCATCTTTTATAAGAACAGAGCAGAGCTATCTTCCTATATAATAAAAGGGCAATTTGCAAATTGACCCTAATGGTGGAATGACCAGAACGACCGCTCGACCAGTCACTATGAGGCACACTGACCACCTCTCGGTCCCTTTCCCTGGCCGGCAGGCTCTGATCACCTGATGGTGAATGGGGAACCGGGGGGTCGTGGCGGCGGGAGCTGGGGCTGGCTGTGGGCAGCCAGGGAAGATGGCCCTGATCACAGGCCAGGCCTAGGGACCGTACCCGTGCATGAATTTCGTGTGCTGGGCCACTAGTGTTTTTATAAAATGCTCCTAAGTTTTAACTTGTGGAAATATTAAAACAAGAGAAAGTATCTTTATTAGGGTTAAAATCTTAGTTAAGATTATATTTGAAAATCTATGTTAGGGAGACTTTATCTCTCTGTTCCAACCCTTCATCAGTGTATTTATTATTTATGTAGCAAATGTTAATTTCAGTTAATTCCAGGGAATTCCTACTTTCTAATTCATACTGAAGTTTTTAGTTAATCAGATGTTTCCTTCTTTAGTGCTGTCATGGGAGTCAGTTCTTTCAAGAAAGTAAACATGAAAGGAGAAATAAACTATAACAAAGGTGAACTTCATCAACTTCATAGATACATTTATTTAAAGTACTAGTAAAATAAGGAAATGGTTTGCATATCATGGAATTTGTTTTAATCTAAGTTGTATGATTGAGAGAGTTTTTTCCTATTAACTTTATATTATGTTACAAAGTAGGTGAATAATGATCAAAAAAAGTATGTATGTAATTGCTTGGAACTTCCATGAATGCAGTTATTTAAAGTAAAAATTAATAGTAGTTTAATGTTTATATTTTTAGATTGCTGTGAGCCTGGGTACTCCAATTATGAAGCCAGAATGGATTTATAAAGCTTGGGAAAGGCGGAATGAACAGTAAGTGTTTAAAAATTCAGTACAAGGGGGCCTTGACTTATGAGTGTCCTGACTAACGAGTTTTTTGAGATACCAGCTGTCCCTCCCCCGATTTTTTGCATTGAGTTGATAGAGTAATTGGAGTTAATGAGCTCCTTAAAGAGCTCCTTAACGAGCTCAGTCTCGGAACGAATTAAACTCGTAAATCAAGGCCCCACTAGTTTTTTATGTGAATTAAATGTTATGGAAGTAATCCCATGTGCTTCAGACCCTAAATTCATAACTAATATAGAAGAAAATGAACTCAGTCTTGGGGTAGCTTGGGGAATAAAGGTTAGGAAGAGTGAAGTTATAAAAAAAAAAAAGTTATGGCTGGCCAGTGTGGCACAGTGGTTCAGAGTCAACCTATGAACCAGGAGGACACAGTTTGATTCCTGGTCAGGGCACATGCCTGGGTTGTGGGCTCAATCCCCAGTAAGGGGCATGCAGGAGGCAGCCAATCAGTGATTCTCTGTCATTATTGATATTTCTATCTCTCTCTCTCAAATCAATAAAAATATAAACAATTATGAAATATTGAAAATTGGAAGACATCTGAGAAATGATTTTTATTGTCATAAATATTTTAAAATTATTAGGTAATACCTTAAAGCATCTGGATATTTGGATCATGTTGTGTTTTTTCTTATTTTATATTTTTCTGGTTATATTTTAAGTGGTAATTGCAATTCATAATCTTTTTAAGCTTTCCAACCTCATAATTCCTTGCTGTTGTGCTTCTTAATTACTTAATATTTAATGAAATTTGAACCCCTAGCACACAATAAAATTTCATGTACAGAGTAGGAATGTGAATCTTGTAAAAATTAACCATGATCAAATTTAGTCAGAATTTAATTCAGGATGACGTGAGGACACATCAAAAAAATTTTTTTAGCTTTTGTTATTAAAATGTTAAAGTTTTGTTAATATTTCAGGATCCGATGTAAAATATTTTCAATAAATGGATTATGCTAAAACCTTGAGGATTAGAAATTGATGTACCTAATTTGTTGAATTTAAGTTAAGCTGTTTTAGAAGAATATATATATATTTTTAGGGATTTCTGTGCATCAGCTGATGACTTTAGAAATGAATTTAAAGTTCCTCCATTTCAAGATTGCATTTTAAGTTTCCTGGGATTTTCAGATGAAGAGAAAACCAATATGGAAGAAATGACTGAAATGCAAGGTAGAATTTGGCATAATTAAAAAGTTTTATATATATATGTGTGTGTGTGTGTGTATTTTTTATTCCTCACTCCTGCCTAATGACTTCCTGGTGAATATGCCTCTTAAAAAAATTTTGGGTTTGCCGAAACCGGTTTGGCTCAGTGGATGGAGCGTCGGCCTGCGGACTGAAAGGTCCCAGGTTCGATTCCGGTCAAGGGCATGTACCTGGGTTGCGGGCACATCCCCAGTGGGGAGTGTGCAGGAGGCAGCTAATCGATGTTTCTCTCTCATCGATGTTTCTAACTCTCTATCTCTCTCCTTTCCTCTCTGTAAAAATCAATAAAATATATTAAAAAAAAAAAATTTTTGGGTTTTGCCCTGGCAAAGTGTTTCTGTTGGTTGGAGCATCGTTCTGCTTCAGTGTCACGGGTTAGATTCCTGGTCAGGAAATATGCCAAGGTTGTGTGTTCCATCCCCAATTGGGGCGGGTATGGGAGATAACCAGTCGATGTTTTCCTCTTTCTCTTTCTCTTCCTCTTTCTCTCTTTCTCTTTCTCTTTCTCTTTCTCTTTCTCTTTCTAGAGTTCTACCAAGAACTCATTCAGCACTGCATCTGCTTAGAGTTGAGACTATTCCAACTCCCTTCCTCCCCCCCCCCCTCTTCCTCTTCCTCTTCCTTTTCCTTCCTCTTGGAAAGAAAAAGGATTTGTGTTTGAAGGTAGTTTGCCTTATTTATATGTTTGTATGCATTTTTTCTTTAGGAGGTAGCTATTTACAGGTTGGAGATGAAAGGTGCACTCACCTTATAGTTGAAGAGAATACAGTAAAAGAACTTCCATTTGAACCTTCAAAGAAACTTTATGTTGTCAAGCAAGAGGCAAGTAATTAAAAAATGAGATTGGTTTTCTAAAAATATTTCAATTGGCATTTCTGATAATGCGAATTCTTAATTAAGATGTTGTTTTTCTCACCTAGTGGTTCTGGGGAAGCATTCAAATGGATGCCCGAGCTGGAGAAACTATGTATTTATATGAAAAGGTATGCTTTTTAAAAAATGTGTCTTAGTTATTTGTTCTGTAAATTTGATTGTATAAAGATGACACTTTTATCTAAAAAGAGCATGGTATAATTAGCATATAGGTCATCTTTTACATCATGTTTAGGAGTTTGAAAACAATTGGAGTAGTCGTCTGTCTATTTAGGTAAAACCACTCATTGTAATGGATATTGTTGTAATCTTATGCCACTAAGAGGCCTGGTGAACAAAATTCTTGCACTGGGGGCATGGGGGTCCCTCAGTCCAGCCTGTGCCCTCTCACAGTCCGGGAACCCTCAGGGGATGTCCTACTGATGACTTAGGCCCTCTCCCTTAAGCCGTAAGTTGGACATCTTTAGCACTGCTGCAGAGGTGGGAGAGGCTCCTGCCACCACCACTGCGCTCAGCCGTGAGCCCAGCATCTGGCTGAGCAGCGCTCCCCTGTGGGAGTGCACTGACCACCAGGGGGCAGTTCCTGCATTGAGCATCTGCCCCCTGGTGGTCAGTGCGCGTCATAGCGACTGGTCGTTCCACTGCTCAGTTGATTTGCATATTAGCCTTTATTATATAGGATTCTGTACTAATAATTGGTGGTATTATTATGAACACTAATATCCCTATCTTTAGAAACTTAGAACCCTAAGGGAAAGATAGATATGCAAACAGTTATAATGCATAATTATATATGCCATAATTGAATAATGTATTTTAACTAGCCTCATTCTGAGAGACTTGGGTAGGATTAAAAAGAGCAAAGAAGTGTTGAGCCAATTTACTAGGCTAACCTGGTAAGGACATTCAAGTTAGGCAGCAAGTGGGAGTGGTATGAAAGCTTGAAAGTATGTTAAAATAGCAAGTAGCTTAGTATGGCTTTAGAAAAATAATGTGAGAAAGAAGGCCAACAGATAAAGCTTACTAAGTGGGCAGAATTAAGAAGTTTTTAATATATTGAAGAGGTTTAAATTTTATCCTATAAGTCAGCAACTTTCAACCTTTTTTATCTCATGGCACACATACACTGATTACTAAAATTCTGTAACATATAAAAAAAATATATTTTTTGCCGATCTAACAAAAAGTAGGTATAATTTTCATTCATTCCCACTGGATGGCTATTCTTGTATTGGCTGTTGTCATTTTTTTATTGGACAGTCTAAAGCAGTGGTCGGCAAACTGCGGCCCCTTGAGTGTGGCTCTTCCACAAAATACCACGTGCGGCCGCGCACGTACAGTTGCGATTGAAACTTTGTGGCCACACTCAAGGGGCCAATGAGCTGCAGTTTGCCGACCACTGGTCTAAAGGAAATGAGGCCTAAATAGGTATTGCGAGTTTAAAAATTCTTATAGCACACTAGTTGAAAATCACTGCTGTAAATATTGGGAGACATTTAATAGTAAGGGGGAAGATGTCGTTAAAAACAATGACTGTAGTAGTAGAATGTAGGCAAGGCAAATCCTGCCTCCATGCTGGATCTTGGTGAAGTATGGTATCATTTACCAAAATGTGGCATAAAGCTATAGAAAAGGTTTTATGGGAAGATGTACTTCAGTTTGGGATTTAATAATTTTAAATAATAGAACACTGAAGATGTGTGGGTTTAAACAGGTAAATACTATATTGTGTTCTCTTCTCAATGTTAGGTTCTTAACATAAAGTTAAAATGCTTTAGATATTGAGAGAGAGCTTTTAAAATCTAGTGTTTGACAAATGTTGGAGAGCAGTGTGTCTAGCACGTGCTAAATGCTAGGGATACAGTGAACAAAATGTGAATGGCTCCTGCTCTCCTGGAGTTTATGGCCTAATGGGGAATAGATAGTAAACAAGCTTACAGACGAATATGTAATGGTGATAGTGCTATGAAGAAAAGGAATGAGGTGCTAGGGCTTAGACAACTACAGTGGTCCCTTGACTATTATGTTTTATGAAGCCTCTGAATTACCTGGCAGGGTATATAGTTGTAAATTATTGTGCAAAATCCAGGTTTTATCGGACTCAAATATATTTTTCTTTTGTTCCCGTCTCAGTAAAGAGCCATGGAAGTGAAATTGAGGTTTTTGTGCTTTTGATTGCAGGCTAATACACCTGAGCTCAAGAAATCAGTGTCACTGCTTTCTCTAAGTACTCCAAACAGCAATCGCAAAAGACGTCGTTTAAAAGAGACGCTTGCTCAGCTTTCACGAGAGACAGACCTGTCACCTTTCCCTCCCCGTAAGCGCCCATCAGCTGAACATTCCCTTTCTATAGGGTCACTTCTAGATATCTCCAACACACCAGAGTCTAGCATTAACTATGGAGGTAATTCACATTTAAAATTTATCTTTAAAATTTAGTGGAATGGAATATTGTTAAACTATAGGTAAATCTCTGCTTATAGTGAATATGAAAGGCTCTGCCTTTAATTACTTTCCTAGTTGAGGAGAAAAGGCACATGAAAATGCTTCTATTTAATGATTGTTTACTGTATGCTAAGTGCTTTTGTATATTTTTTGTATTTATAAGATTGATTTCATTTCTCCTATTTTACGGATGACTAGACTGAGGCCAGAGAAATAACTCATTAAGGGTCACACAGCTATAAAGTGATGGAACCATTCAAAGAGCATTCTTAGCACTAGCTAAATAAAATTATAGATGTATTATGGGGAAAACAGATACAATGAAGTCAGAGGAGGCTGAGTTTACTTTGTTCTAAACTGATACAGGAAAGCTACAATGAGTTCTTCTCTGTTGATCATCAATTTTTAAGTTTTTAGTCAGCATATAAATAATGTTGTGTTTTCTAGACTTGATAAACAATCAAAACCTTCCATTGATCTCGTGGTACTCGCCATTTATTATTCCCTTTTTCTCTTCCCTTTCACATGAGTCCTCTTCAAAGAATTACCTTGGTCCACTATCTCATTTTCTGCTTTTCATTCTTTTCAACCCATTCCAGTTGAACTTCAGCCCCCCGCCCTACTGTGACATTGGATCTTTCTAGAGAGATGACAGTTTCTATGCAATCAATAGTATCCAGCACATGAACAGCTACTTACTTCTGGACTCATTTTTTTATCTTGGCTTATATACATTTCTCATTCTCCTTTGCCCAGCTTCACTCTCCAACTCTGAATGTTGAATGTTATTCCTTTGTTGTTTCTTTTTTTTTTATTTTCCCTAAATGATCTCATTTAATTCCATGGCTTTAACAGCATTTATCTGCTGATGTCCCCAAAATTTGTTGTCTTCCCTTTCCAATTACCTACTTCATGCCTCCTTGTCCGCATCTTAAACATAACATTATCAAATTATAACTTTGATTCTCTCTACCACTCTCAACACTATTCCTTTGCCATACTTTGTCAACTTTTTCTGTAGAAAAGATCTCTCTCAGACAAATGCAGTGGCCTCTTTATATCCAGTTTTGCCTTTCTACATTAGCATTTAACAATGGTCTTTAAAATTATATAAATTAAATCAGCAGTCACCAACCTTTTGGACCTCCCGGATCACCAGTGGTCCATGGTCCACCGGTTGGCGACCGCTGAATTAGATCATGCCACTCTGCTTAGTCATTGAGTGGCTTTGTATTACCATAACTTGCATGTTCCTATGTAATCCTTCCTCTTCTACCTCTAACCTCATGTGGTATTATGCTTTCCAGTGATACTCTCTAAGCTTCAGTCACACTATCTTTGTTATTCTTTGACTATTTCTACTACATCCATAGCTGAGGAACATTAAACTTTCAATTAGGAGATTCTGTATATAATGTTGCAATATTCTAATCATACTGATAGCAAAAAAATGTATTTTAAGCTTTTATAAAATTTATTTTAATTTTTCTTGAAATACATATAAAATATATGAATGCATCCTCCCTGCACGTGGGTTGGACTAGATGTTTTATACTAAGATACTTTGAACTAACAACAAATTTGCAGTTGATGTTGGGTATTTTTTGAGGGAGGCTTTCTTCGTGTGTGTGTGTGTGTGTGTGTGTGTGTGTATGTGTGTAGAAGTCGAGGCGTGAGCAGGCAGTCAACTCATAAGTCAAGGCACCACTGTATATATATTTATATATATATATATACTAGTGGCCTGTTGCAGGAAGATTCCTGCAAGAATAGGGCTTCCTGCGGCTGGAGCGAAGCAGAGAAGGGAGCGAAACCCGCTGAGGCCTCCCGTCTCCGCAGCCTTGTCTCCATTCCTGTCTCCGCTGCCTCTACTTTGCTCCCTCTGTAGCGCTTCGCTTCCACATTGTCTTCAGTCTTCGCTCCCAGCTGGTATGTGCAAATTAACCGCCATCTTGGTTGTGTTAATTTGCATATAGCCGCTCTGATTGGCTGGTGGGCGTGGCTTAAGGCATAGTGAAAGTACAGTCAATTTGCATGTTTGTCTTTTATTAGTGTAGATATATGGAGAGTGTAATCAACCTTTTCCTCCTTTTTTAACTTAAATATTTCTATATGTTGCCTTTTATTTTGAAATAATTTCAGATTGCAAAAATACTGCAAATATAAAGATCCCTATATACTTTCTACTCAAATTTCCCAAATGGAAATATTCTATGTTTGCTTTAACATTCATTCAGTCATTCATTCATTTATCTTCTCTTTCTGTCTCCACACATATTTTTAATGTTTGAGATTACATTGTAGATAAGTTGTGCCTTTATGTCTAACACTTAAATTTATATTTCTTAAAATATAGGGAGATTTCTTGTATTTTGTAATTAGGAAGTTAACCTTAATGCTATGATCTACCCCACAGACCTTCAAATTTTATCAGTTGTTCCATTAATGCCCTTTTTAGCAAAAGAGAAAAGTTTTTTTTTTTTTTCTTTTTACCCCCTCTCATCTAGGATCCATTCCAGGATCACAGGTTATGTTACATCTCTTTAGTCTCTTCTAATCTGGTACAGTTCCTCAGTCTTTGTTTTAATGACCTTGGCATTTTTAAAGAATACAGGCCATCTGTTTAGTAAAAAAGTCTGTCAATTTGGAGTCAATGATATTTTTGACAATTTTTTTCTGGCCTCATGAGGAAATTTTAGCATAATGAAAATCTATATGGTGGTGTATTTATAAGAGTTAGTATGCTTTCCTTTTTTTGTTAAATCCATGCAATGTTTAGTACTTATATCTGGCCTGCATTTTAAAACATTCCTCCTTTTTTATTTTTTAGAAACACCAAAGTCTTGTACTAAGTCTTCTAAAAATTCCACTCCGGTTCCTTCAAAGCAGTCAGCCAGGTGGCAAGTTGCAAAAGAACTCTATCAGACTGAAAGTAATTATGTAAATATATTGGCCACAATTATTCAGGTAAGAGTTTGGTTGCAAAATGATTTCTGTTCCAGTGTTTCTACATAAAAAAATCTAAGAGATGTTATTTCTTACAAGAAAACTACATAAGCATAGAATTTGAACATAGATATTAAAAATGAAAATGTGTGACAAAAACTGCTCTTAGGGAAATGCCGTAACTGTAATAGTAATTTTTATTCGTGCAGAAATAGCACCATACTTTAGAGTGACTTTAAAGAGAGAAGGTTCCTGATTAGATGATCATAGTGGGCCAAGTTTAATTCAGAACTTTGCAGGTTCCTTGTCAAGATTCTGCATTTATATTTATATTTGGAATTTGGAGATAACTTTTTCTGAAAGTGTGTGTTCTATAGAGTCATTGCTTTAGGTAGTGCTATATATATGTGGAAAAAAGCTATAACAATGAAGTGTAACAATATGGATGTCAGTACTTCTTAAAAAATCCTTTCATATGTCAAATTTTCTTAAACTTTGCAATAGTTAGTCATAAATAAATGTTAACTCCTTGTTTTTTTTTTTTTTAAATATATTTTATTGATTTTTCACAGAGAGGAAGGGAGAGAGATAGAGAGTTAGAAACATCGATGAGAGAGATACTTCGATCAGCTGCCTCCTGCACATCTCCCACTGGGGATGTGCCCGCAACCCGGGTACATGCCCTCGACCGGAATCGAACCTGGGACCTTTCAGTCCGTAGGCCGACGCTCTATCCACTGAGCCAAACCGGTTTCGGCAACTCCTTGTTTATCACTATTAAAATGTACTGTGAAGTTATTTCTGAAGAAAAAACAATTCTAATGAATCCTTGTAATATGAGGTTGAAGAAAGTATTAAGGAATAAACCAAAACTCAAGGTTCTGCAAGACATAATAATAATAGGACTTTTCTGGGAATCTGTAGAAAGAAGGAATAAATTTCTTTTAGGGAATGATGGATATAGTTTGTCAGGAAAATGAAGTTAATACCGTCAAACTTATCTTTGAATAGAAAAATTATAGTGATAAGAAATGGAAATTTCTTGGTAGTAATGGAGAGATTATCCTTCATAGTTAATTTGTTTAGTAGTAGTCAAGGTTTCATGAGGCCTCAGCTGTATTAAACTTTACTTGTTTTAAGTCATCCTTTCTCTTCCTCAAGGGAAATATCCTGAATGACTTTCTAGTTTAAGTTTTTATAGTCAGCCAAAATGTAGTTGAGTAGTAGAATATCCTTGTGGCATACACTGTTCATATACTTTGGTAGCATTTATTAACTAGAGATGTAAATTCTTTCAAGCCATGGTAAATGCACTGGAATTTCAGAATTCTAATTTGCATATCAATTAAATTTTCCAGAACTCCTCTTTAAAAAGCCCTTGAAATTATTAAACTGCATACAGAATTTCATACTGCTATAAGCCCTTGAAATTATTAAACTGCATACAGAATTTCATACTGCTATGCTTAGTATAAACTCACCTGATCTTTTACTGAAAAGATTATGGTCTATCCCTGGCCTCTGTGGCTCAGTTGGATGAACTTTGTCCCATGCAACAAAAGGTCACAAGTTTGATTCCAGGTCAGGGCACATGCCAGGGTTGCATGCTCAATTCCCAGTAGGAGGCAGCCGATCAATTTTTCTCATATCAATGCTTCTCTCCCTTGCCTTTTATCTCTCTAAAATCAGTAAAAACATATTAAAGAAAAAGATTAGGGTCCTAATTCATGATAGTGTTTTCTTGAAGCTCTATTTTAGGACTGATGTGCTCTTTTTTTTTTTATATTGAATTTAGAGTAAATTTTAACATAGCTCCTAAATTAAATAAATATGTAGCATACTATCTAATAAAGACAGAATATGCAAATTGACTATCACACCATCACAAAAGATGGAGGTGCCCAGTCCCCTCAGCCCTACTGGAGTCCCCCAGTCATTGCAGCCCCCAGGGGGTGGCAGACCTGCAGTGCGGCTGGAGCCGCCCTCAGCTCCCCAGCTACCCAGGGCCGGCCCGAGGTGCAGGCAAGTCTCGAATGGCAGCTCCCCAGCTGACGCCTGAGGTGCAGGCAAACCTTGGATGGCAGCTGCCCAGCTGCCTAGGGCTGGCCTTAGGCGCAGGCAAACCTCAGATGTCAGCTTGGCAGCCAATACCCGAGGTGCAGCCAGGCCTGGGATGTCAGCTGCCCAGCCACCCAGGGTGGGCCCAAGGCGCAGGCAAACCTATGATGGCGGCTGCCCAGGGCCACCCGAGGCTCAGGTAACCGGGGCTGGCCAAGGCTTGCGCTGCCGGCAGTGGCAGTAGCAGAAGTGTGATGGGGCATCGCTTTCTGCTGCTCACTAGGTCACCTCCCGCCCCAACCCTGAGAGCTCCCAGACTGTGAGCAGGCCTGGCTGAGGGACCACCCCCTTCAGTGCATGAATTTTCATGCACTGGGCCTCTAGTACATTATAATATAATGTAGTAGAATAACCTAACTATTCCAGAATATTATAAAAATTTACACTAATAAAAGACAAAGATGCTAATTGACCATACCTTTGCTATGCCCTAAGCCATGCCCACCAGCCAATCAGAGTGACTATATGCAAATTAACCCAATCAAGATGGCAGCCTGCAGCCATGGGGCTGGAGCAAGCCAGAGGCTTGGTTGCTCCGGCGATGGAGGAAGCCAAGCTTTGCACCTGCCTTGGCCAATTGTGGCCATTGCAAAAGGCAACAAAGTTTCAATTATAGAAGATAAATAAATACCAGATAACTGCTTCATAGAAGACAGATAAATCCCAGATACCTGGTTCCTGCCAACCTCGACTGGGAGCTTGGGTGGCTAGGGGTTGTGGCCAGCCTGCAAACAGCCATTAGCCCCTCATCCAGGCTGGCCACACCCTCATGGCCCTCTGAGCTATTTATCCCTCAGGCCCTCACCCAGACTGGCCAGGCACCCGAGTGGGGACCCCCACCCTGAAGGGGGAGCGACCAGCTGCAAACAGTCATCATC